TTGTAATTCCTTTCTCTAGGTTCCTATTTAGCAGCTCCCATGCATTTCTGTACTCCCCAAGGTGCTGTCCTAGTTCCTGTTCTATGTTGAGTTGATGTCAATTAATTCTTTCTAAATTGTTACCTGGTAGGGAATAAAGGCCCTGGCTTTGACACTGCCATCAGCACACTTAATTACCTTGAACAAGTCACCTATGTTTTCTGGACTTTGGTTTGCATAGCTGTAAAGTAAGGGGTTTGATTACATGATTTCTAATGCTGCTACCAACCCTGTGATTATGGATTCCATGGGATTAATTGGCCAGGAAAGTACCCCTTGTTGATGCCTTGTGAATTTCTTGAGAACTATAATAATTTCCTATATTTAATTGTATCCTGAAAGTCCCTTACATGTCTAACCTTAATTAATTTATTACTTTAGTGACAGTTATGGTAATCAGTGAAGCAAACCATTGACTTTCCCCAAAGTCATGTTGATAACAGACAAGTAATGGAAATGGCCATATGTACATGACTTTGGTGTTTGATTTGGATCTTTCCATATTGGTCCAAAAGTACTTTCAAAGCCATGGTGAGGATATGTAGATGGAACCAAGGAAATAAAGGGAAGAAAGTCGGTGTGTTGTCTTGATGAAATTGCAAGGCCCTTTATTTTTTACCTCAATATTTTTTTTTAAGATTTATTTATTTATTTATAATGGGCATATATATATAGAGAGAGGCAGAGACACAGGAGGAGGGAGAAGCAGGCTCCATGCCTGGATCCCGATGTGGGACTCGATCCCGGGACTCCAGGATCGCGCCCTGGGCCAAAGGCAGGCGCTAAACTGCTGAGCCACCCAGGTATCCCCTGTCCTCAATATTTTGCAGACAGAAATGAAAAGGTCCAGAGTGCTGCCCAAAACTTGAGTTATAGCAATTGGTTACCCAGTTGGGATCTAATAATAAGACCATTTTGGCAGGAACCCCACAAATGTGACTATTTAACTACTGGCAGCAGGAGTAAGATATGCATGATATAGATACAATTATGTCTGTCAATTGGATTGGGAAGAAATAAATAGCTACTACCAATGTCAACATGGTTGACAACAAGGAAATAAATTACACAATCTGAAATGAAGACCAAGATCCGAACAGAGCCACTCCTAATATCACTGTTCCTCATTTGTCAGATGGGACACTCGTAGATCCCAGACTCTAGGCCATTTTCAACTGTCCAGGGCTTATATAGCCTGGATCAATTTGTTCCATAGAATTCAAAAGGACACTTCACCTCCAGTCAACATTATCTTTTGTGCCCAAACTCACCAAAAACTATATACTTTTCTATCTACTTTAATATACTAAGTGCTTGTAGCAAGTTTGTTTTTAATCTTTAATTTAAAATTTAAATTAAAAATGTTATTATAGCTTTAAAATTTTGCTTTAAGTGGGAATTAAAAGTCAATTTATACTTCATGTATTACATATTTGAGATTTTTTTGCAAAGGTTTATTTCTATTAAGATCATCTTCTTGTCATCATCTTGATAATCCAAATAAATGAATGACACATAATTCAATAAATGAATATTTTTAAATGTTTAAATATTTTTAGTATTCATGAATTTAAAATGTGAATAACTTAAAATATTGAATATTTTAAAATACTGAAATATTAAAAATTCAAATAAATATTTTTGAATGAATAGATGAATTACAGAATGAGTTACATTGTGGTTATACAACAGGGAACAAAACCAGCCAAAGTCTCTTCTTTCATGGGTATTTTGGTCTAGTAGGAAAACCAGAAAATAAAGAAGCCCATAAAATGAATAATTTTAAAAGAGTTACTATGAAACAAACAAATGGGATACTGAAGAGTAACTAGCTCCTTAGCAGCATTTAACAATGTTTTAAATAGGCTGCCCGGAAAAGCCTCACTGATAAGGTAATGTTTAAATTGAGATCTTAAATCTGAAAAGTGGCTAGTCATGTAGCAGCCTGAGGAAGAAAGCATTATGAGTCCTTTGAATGGGATCTTGCGCCAAGAGTGAGGAATACCAGGAGGTAAGTCTAAATTCCTGATCTCAGGAATGTCACCGTATAAATGGGGAAGTGGGATATGTACAAGATAGTAAAAATCAGTCCTGGGAAGGTTACTGAATGTCTCATCAAAACAAATGTGAGAGGTCAGCAAAGACACTGGCCAACACTGAAATAGCAGAGGAGGGATTATGACTTAGGGAAGGTCCAAATTTCAGTAAGAGGGAATCATCACTCAGTTTTTTTGTTTTTTTGTTTTGTTTTGTTTTAAGAGAGAGAACAAGAGGGAGAGAAGGATAGGAAGGGGGCAGGAGGTGGGGCAGAGAGAGCAAGAGAGAAAATCTAATCAGGGTCTAGGCCCAGTGAAGAGCCCAACATGGGGCTCGGTCTCACAAACCTGAGATCATGCAAGACTTGAGCTGAAATCAAGAGTCATGAGCCATGCAAACTCCTCTCAGAAGATGATTTTTAATTAAAGGTCTGATTATAATTTAAAATAGGATGCGTATATTGTCTCTATCTATAACATCCCTCCTTTATTCCAACTTTAGAACCAGGAAGGCAGTGTAATTTGTTTAGTTATTTGTTTGTTTGTTTTATTGCTTTGCTTATAAGTTCAATTTCCTGTGGAGTGAACTATTCACAGTGAGCAGTCAGCAAGTGTTCTCATTTGCTTACCTGAAAAGCTTAAAGCAAAGATACACAGTCCAACCACCCTTGTTCAATGCAATTTATAAGTGAGCTGCATGAAGGACAAGGTCCTAAAGAGGTAAGTTGAGCCCAATTCCAATGGATCCCAGAGCTGTCTCATAGAGAGTTGCCTTGGAATGACTGGTGTAACAAATAACCAGAGATGAGTTGATAGGTCAGTGCAAATTAACTGCTGCACTTTATTGAAAATCTCCATATATGAAGAATAATACTCAAGAGACCTCAATTAGTACAGTCACAGGATGAGAGGACTCAAGGAGTCTAGCCTTAGAGTACAGAAACCAAATATAGTTTGGATGAAAAATCTATCACCAGCAGTCTTGGAAGAGATATCTTAGCTATGCTAACACTTCTTTAAAAGTTGAGACAAAAACCAAACAGAGCATTATATTCCTGTGCTGACTTACAACTCTACACAAGTCTCCTTGAATATTTGAGGAAGGGTGGTGAAGCCTGTACTTAAAAGTGCCTAAGTTCACAGGTTGGTTAGGTACTATCTCATGATTGAAAGTGGATCCTACAAGCAATTGTTTGGCTGTAACACATTTCTGGATTTAGAATTTTTTTTCAAGTGCAGTTAGAATGTTGTCACATGAGAGCTGCTCCTAATTCTGCACAGTGGCCCATATGATTCAGGACCACAAAAGGGTGATTGATGGGTGGTCAGGGTTCACTTCATTATGTCAGCATTGAACAGCTAAACTGTCCCTTAAGAGCCACACATCTCATCAAGCTGCCTGTAAGCTCCTCTTTGTTTCTCATGAGTCTGTTTTTGTTTTTATTTTGGATACCATGTCAGGTTATAATGAGAGAAGGCAGATCCTTTTTATTAGATATAAAACCAATTCTCTGCATTCTAATGAGCATCTCTTGATTACAGTACCTAGAACTTGTTGAACAACCCATACATTGCCTTATAATTTTTACACATTTGTGCATTAATTTGATGAACATCAGGATGACCAACTAACCCACCCCTAGCCCCAGACTGGTTGTGCCATCCTTAGTTTATCTCAGTTAAGGTATGTTGGTCTCTATCAATTTCTTATTTAGATATAAACATCTCATGGAGATCTAAGTTACTTTTAGCTAGTCACCTTTTTTCAGGTTATTAGTTAATAAGATCTTCTCATACAATACAATATAGCCAAAGACCAGAACTGAAGGGCTGAAACATTTGATCTGGGGATGAAGTCACTGGGTTGGGCTGCAGCCCTAAGAAAGCATATCAAGACTACATTTGGTACTTGTATAAAGGAAAACAGTTGGGAACTAAAAGTTTATTTTTTGGAGTTGAGGGGACTTGGGGTTTAGATAGGATAAAAGGGGATGGTGAGAGAAAAGGGATGTAGGAGAAGACAAATACTAATCACAAAATCTGCATGAGGTTGACCACTCCATCAGTCCATGAACCCAACTTCTCAACCCTACTTTCCAACAGGAATGAATCTAAGGCTCTCTCTCCTCTCTTGCCAAAAATCCCTGGGATCATTAACCCTTTCCTCCCTTGTCTCATTTTGTGTGTTTACCCTTCTCCATTCCTGTGTCCAGGGAGCTCTCAATCAATATGAAAGATTTTTCAAAATAAATGTGAGATCGTTCAAAACATAAAATCTCTAAGAAGATAATAGGATTTTAAGTGATATCTTGCCTCAGAATATGCAACAGTCTATGTGGGTGAAGATAGAATATGCAAATCTATGCAATCTCTATTCAAGTATACCCTTGGACCTAATAAGCTTTTACACCTACAAATGAACATTCAAGAAGAGTTGAAAGAATGTGTGGCTTTTGCCATCCTGCATACTCTCCTACCCTAATCTTGAAATAATAGGTCAATCCTGCAGCACCATGCCAAGAGAGAAGCCACAAGCAAATTTTCTTTTGTGCTGCTGAACTTTTCCAGAATTGGTGGGCAGTTTGCTTAACCACATGAGAAAGAAGCATGAGCCAGATGCAGACACATGCCAGCAAGAACCCAGGAACACCATTGCAGGCTGCTGGAATTCACAGACTCCAAATCTGCAAAGGAAAGCAGTGTTAGTCCATCCAGCTGCGCTGACAACAATGTTAACGAAATTCCCTTTATACAATGGTTTTGCTGAGGTCAGGTGATTACCTCACTAGGCCCTGCTTGCGAAACTGCAGCAGTCAGGAAAATGTGGGTTGGCTAGAAGCTCATCAGCTGGATAGCTGGGAGAACCAGTTTCAGAAAGCTGTCAGTTGAGAGATGTTTTCAACATATCAGGGATATGATGTCCAGATAGCAGATTGCATGACAACTAGTGCAGCAAATAGATTGATTTTTCTGCCCCCCTAGAAGAAAATGTTTGACACAAAGAGGCGACCCAGTGCTTGGACAGACTTTCTGCATGAGGATCATGCTGGACTTAGCACACTCGAGTGCAAGCAGAAGGCGGAATCCAAAATGCCAGGTAATCTCATTTTTTAACTGGAAATCAAAGATTAAGTCCAAAATACAAGAATGTGTTTTTCAACAAATACTCTTTTAAAGAAACCAGTCCTCTAATATCTTTAGGGATATACATAAAATATAACACCTTAAAATATAACACTTGTTATATGTCTTTGCAATATATGTTTATCTTGAAAATCTATTTTTTCTTTTTCTCTTAATTTTCTAATATCACCTTACTTTATTTTTTTTCAAATGAGAACATAATAATATCAGACTTCAAATAATGACATCTTTAATTCTTTTCAGAGCTATTTTTTATTGCATAGTTTTTTAGACAAGTTATGGTGCAGCACAGTTGATAGAATTCTAAGAAATTAATTAATCAAATTAATTAAACTGCCAGATGCTTAAATATGAAATTCTGTAAATTAGATATTGTTTTTGACAGCCACCAAAATAGAGTGTAATGATCTAATGAAAAATGTTAGTTCTTTTTCTTCCCCACCTTATCTGTTTTTGAATTTTTAGTGTACAACTTTGGATTTAGTTGGGCCAGAAATAAATTATTGGATTCAATTATGGAAAAAGTCATTTTCAGCCAAGAAGCCTATATGGTGGTAAAATGCCAGCTGTATGTCTCTTGGTTGAGTTGATGAAAACTGACTCAGCAATGTTCTTCAAAGACACTTAGAATCATGTGTTTTAGAGCTGTAAGTAATTTCAAGACTTTTTCTAGTTCACTGTGCTACTTTCCACAAGTTAAAATAATATTTCTGTTTTATTGCACCTCAGGTTCAGAAAGGTTAGATAAGCTCCCGGAGGTTTTAAAACTATTCTAGAGAGACCTAGAATCCAGGTTTCTGCTTCATAATACAATATCTTTGTGGTATTCCGATATAACAAATAGGTATCATATATGTTACCACTCTCTTTATCCATATGCATGGCAGTCACTGTTAATCAGGGATGACCTGCTTTCCTGCTGAGGATAGTAGCAACCCCAGAAAACATCTTGTCTCATCAAAATAGCGGAGCAACCCACTCTGGAGAAAGGTTGAAACCAGTGTTGAACCAAGCTCCCTTAAAGGACATCCTTGAGGGGCTCAGAGTCAAGCCTTGTGACAGGAAATGTTTTTAACTAGGTCAAAAAAAAAATAACAACAATCAAGCTCATTAATTATAACAATTGTACCACAGTAAGTGTAAGATACTAATAAAGAGGAAACTGTATATATGGGCAAGGGCTAGAAGCGGATATATAGGAACTCTCTGTACTTTCTGGTCAATATTTCTGCAAATTTAAAACTGCTTTAAAAACCAAAGTCTGTTGTTGTTTTTTTTTCTTAAGTCTGTAGATGAACTGACCTATTCCTATTGTTGATCTGTATGGATCATCACATGGTAGATTCACACATGGCCATTACTAGGAACCATAAATGCAACTGTGATGGACAAGTTAACCATACTTGCATTATCTGTTGAGTGTATTTTGAGGATGTGTTTGGAACAGGAAGCCTAAATACACATCTTTCAAATTAAACTGCCTTTGATGTGTATCCATGGTGCAAGTATTTTTTTTCCTTGATGATGGAGTAATTACCAAGGCATAATAGTTGTTGTCAAAATACTTTTTTTTTCTTGCAGTTTCCCTAAAATTAGCAGGCTTAAGCTGTGTATTACAGAAGACAGTATACTTCAAGTGTGTGTACTATGATTCAAGGCTAAATAGGTCCCAGAGGAAAAGTTTAAGAAAGTGATGTTGTTTAGCTTGGCAAAGAGGAGACTAAAGGGTGCTCTGAGAGTTGTGTTTGAAATATGATGATCTATTAAATGGAGGACAGTAACCAGCTGTTCTTCATCTCCAGTGAGAAAAGAATAGGGAATTGACTCAATGGAAGATGTGGATTTGGGTATAATAGTCCTTCCCTAATTAACCCCACTCTCTCTCTGAACCTTATTTTCTTTCATCAGATACTTGGATCTTAGCATATAGTATAAAATTCTATGTGTATTAATAGTCTTGCTTTGTCATTTACCCAAGATGTTTTAGGTTTTATCTGTCAGAGAGCATGTTATCTGCTATGAGCTAAACATAATATATAAAATTTCTTACCAACTCTTCAGTAAGCCACCTGATAGCATGAACCACTTCCCTAAGAAACAGGTTAAGAAATGCTTATGGTCTATTTGGTATACTGAAACTTTCTGAATATGAAAACAAACCTAACCTTACTTAAACCTTCCATGATGAGAGCAAAGAATTATCACAAACATCTCTTCTCTATTAATCACACCACCATGCCCATCACATATATGCCCCACAGAGAGCTTTTACCCATTTCCTGAGCTTTAACGTATTACAACATTTATCACTCATGTACCATATTCTACCTCATGACAAGTATTTCTTCAGGACAGAAGAGACACCTTGAATATTAGGTCATATCTTTGTGTAATATTAATTATATCCAAATCATATCATTGAGTAAATACACAGCAAACCTGTTATGCATAATATAATGATAAAATATAGATGCAAAAAAACCTTGATGCTTCCTCTTCAAGAGTTTACCCTTTAGAGAGGAATGAAGAAACTCAGGTATACATATCTCAGTTTGAGGCAGAGGTGGAGTAGGCAATGGGGCTTTTCTGAAAATAAAATTCACCTTTGGAAACAAAGTGGAAATCATTGATTGCATCTTTAGGATCAGAGTGAGGCCTTTAAAAATAAGGGACTCAAATTGTTTCTTCCAAAGACAAGTCAGGAGTCAGGGACTTTGGTAATCCTCACACTCAAGAATTACATCCTATGGCAGAAGCCCATTTCAACACAACTGTCAAGTAGAAAAGTAGGCATTATTACAAGAGCTTCAGAAATTAGGACAAGCTTATCCTTCTTTGTATTTCTTATTTTTGTTTCCAAAGTCTGTCTTCCTATACTCAATAAAACCCATAATGTGAAAATAATTTGTGTGCTTTAGAAGCCACCAGAAATCAGAACTGAAGGAAAATGTATCCACAGCCAACATGAGACCTAGGAGAAAGAAAACCATGGGAGAGAGAGAAATGAATGTAAAAACCTAGAAAGAAGAAAAGTTGCCTGAGTGCCATGCCTTTCATGAATAGAGGGTGTTAGAGAGAGTCTGAGATGTAGGACTCTGTGCTGAGAGGTGGAAAGTCGACCAGTGGAGTTGCCAGAGCTATATAGGAAAATACAGGTAGCTCTAAGATTGGGGGTGAGTTATAATTTAAGTGTAAACAAAATACAACAATAAGGACTGGAGGAATCATGGAAGGTATCTTGTAAAAAGTGGGGTTTTTTTGTTTGTTTTTTTGTTTGCTTGTTTTTATTTAGTTATGATAGTCACGCACACACAGAGAGAGAGAGAGGCAGAGACACAGGCAGAGGGAGAAGCAGGCTCCATGCACCGGGAGCCTGATGTGGGATTCGATCCCAGGTCTCCAGGATCCCGCCCTGGGCCAAAGGCAGGCGCCAAACCGCTGCGCCACCCAGGGATCCCTAAAAAGTGGTTTTTGACCAAAGGTAGAGAAAGAAATTTGACAAATAGATGTAGGGAGAAGACAATTTTAGGAAAATTCCAGAGTGTTTTACCCATTCCACAAGTGCCAGCTTAGGCTTTATGTAGTAGGAAATCAGGCGCAAATGTTAGCTTTTTAAAATTTCAATCTTGCAACTGCTCTCTAGCCCTAACTGGAAACCTCTGAATAAATTAAGAGTAAAGAATAGGGGATCCCTGGGTGGCACAGCGGATTGGCGATGCCTTCTGCCCAGGGTGTGGTCCTGGAGACCCGGAATCGAGTCCCACGTCGGGATCCCTGGGTGGAGCCTGCTTCTCCCTCTGCCTCTGTCTGTCTGTCTGTCTCTCTCTCTCTCTCTCTCACATGAATAAATAAATAAAATACTTTTTTTAAAAAAAGTAAAGAACAGACATAAAGGGTGTTGGATCATTTGTATAGCAGACTAGTTGAAGAATATAACACCTGTGCTAGTGCTTGAGAATAGTCTAGATCTAAAGCTGGCAAGGATGGTGGTGGATAGATGAATTTTCTAAGATCCCAGAGTTGGGAATCTATCTATTCTGAAATGAGACCTTATCCATTGTCACCCTGTGATGGCACAAGCAGAGATGTCCCATATGGATAGGCCCACCAAGAAGCAACCAATAGGAACAGGTGGGCAGATGTTGTCAGACAACTTAATCATTTTTAAAACAAATCTATTTTTTCCCAATGCACTGAAATGATTAATTTATTTGAAAACTTGTTGATTTCTTCACTGCTTTGCTTTTTCTATCATTTGAGAGCATTATAGGAGGATATTTAACTGTTAAATATATGTAATTGACCACTGAGTACTTTTTTATCTGATTCTTATCCAGAAAGTTTATATATACATACACATTTATGTACACACAAGTTCTATATTCAAAGTCACAGTGAAGAGTTGGACTTTTACTTGATTTCCGATCTTCTCCCCAAAATTGCAGACATTGTGGGCAACATTTTTATTATTGTCTTGACAGGAGCATAGATTTTTTAGAAACTCTAAATCTTGTTCTAAGTATCCACCTGGGTCAAAGCACTTGACTTAGTCTTCAGGTAGGAAACAAAGGCAGGAGGAAATGTAGATAAAATTAAATGTTCTTATAACCTGCAGCCCATTGACAAATACTTGAGGCAGTCAGTATAGGTTCCTCCAGGAAGTTCCTAACCGTCTTAATGTTAATGCCTTGCTAAGGGTAAAACAACCCTAGTTTGACAATAGCAAGGCCTCTGGTATCCTGTGAGTCTTCTTTAGCATAAGAAATCCTTTTGGAATTTCCCTTATCTTTACTTCTCCCAACCCCAAAGTATGTAATCAGTTGCTCCTCGCAATAACAGGGTAGCCCTCTTTCTGCCCAGGGGTCCTGTCCCCATGCTTTAATAAAACCACCATTTTGCACCAAAGACATCTCAAGAATTTTTTCTTTGGTATTGGCTCAGGACCCCAGCAAC